GTTTTTAGGGGTGCCTTGCGAAAGCCAGACACTTGACTTGTGGCATCCTTGAAGGCACCCCTTGTTTTTAGGGGTGCCTTACTAAACCCAAGCAGTTGATTTGAATTACTATGGTCTATCCCACAACGTCATTTGTCCTAAGTCAGTTGTTCACGGCATAGTATGTTCTGTACATGGAGATGCCTCACAGTCTGCCATCTCCTCATTTCAGCCATTGGCTCCTAGGCCCGGAGGCCGGTGTTCATAAGAGTTCATGCAGAATTCGGTAAATGCTGCAGCCCCTGGTCCAGTTTTGCCTTGTGCCATGCTTTAGCCCAAGTCCCTTAAACTTATTTGTTTACACCTGTTACTTAAGAATAAGCATTCTAGCTGGTGCATTTATGTAGAAGAGCCATGGCTGTTTCGAGTGCTGACCTGTTCGATGTAATTTTCTTCAAATCATGTTGTCACATAAACTTTACGTTGTTCAAAAGTAGACCCCTCCCGTGCTGGCTGGGGTAGGAATGCACCATAGCTCAGTTATTATGAATCATATCTAGCTAACTATGGGTATATCTGGCTAGGTTCCTTTTCCTAGCAAGGTTCTAATTAACCTCCAGTTTTCACCCTCCTTATGGGAAGAAAATGAATCACCATGTTGTTACATTTGGTGAACTGGTTCTTCTTCACCGAGACCCAGGTGGTTCAAGAGATCTTGGCCAGGTGGTGACACAGAGACCGAGAGTTGGCAGTTGCAGTGTTCAACTGATTTCTGTGGGCAGCTGCACGATCTATCTCCCAAAGGCTCTGGGTTTGCCCACCTTGGGTCGTATGCAGTCATCAGTTCACTTCTAAAGTGACTGAGACCATGTTTTTAGAATAAGTTGAATTAATTGTGGGAAAACATCCCACAATGCGTCTCTCCAGGCCCAGATGGATTTTTCCAGGAACTCTAGAAATTAAGAAAATATCAATCCTACATGAATTTTCAGAACACAGAAGTGAAGAGAATATTTCCTAACTCATTTTACGAGGCCAGCATTGATATTAAAAGCCCACAAATTATTACAAAAAGGAAAACTAGAGATAAATACCCTTCATGAACATACATGCAAAGTACTAGAAAATAACATCAACCTTATAGAAAAGAATAAAAAATCATGACAATTCACCATATTCAGAAACAGGAAAGGTTCTGATCCGCTTTGTCCCGTTGAGAGATGGAACAGGAACTAAGGAGAGTGTGGCCCGTCCTCCCATTGCTGAAGACCATGTCAGATGAATTGTCCCTTCCACGTTGTTGGGCAGAAGCAGAGGACTGAAAAAGAGGCTCAGCCTTCAGAGTTTGGATTGCACTTCAAGCACAATGAGGGGCCCCCCTCCCTTTTCTTGCAGGAGATCTTTCTCAAGGGTAGAAAGCACCTGGCAAGGTTGTAGAATTGTAAGACACAGGGAAATGGGGTCT